GCTGTGTATGATAATCAAGTTTGTGAAACAATAAATCATTTCTGAAATGTTTTATTTGAACTAAGAACTAAATAAATCTTCAGACATTTTAATTATAAGTTAAAAGAAACATTTGGGAAGTAAAACCTGGCTTTACGTGAGGAAATGTCAGACACTTCACCTGCTGGGCTTTTCGCAACAGGAAGTGAAAATAGGTGACGCTTGTTCTGTTTTATAAAGACTGAACCGTGACTCACCGACACGCTGACCGGCTGCATTAACCCCACAGCTAAAACCAAAGAAGCTGCCAACGATAGCCGCATGTTTTTAGCTTAAATACAGTCCACTTTAGTTTGTTTTTATTCTTCTGAGTCGCTCTGATTGAACCTGGAGAACTGCCGTCGCTGTCCAGGTGCCAAACCCCGCCCACTTATGTCGTCACGCGCTCCAAACCACTGCAGGTGTGGTTATCCACTGTATGAAACTACATACATACATGCCTACCATTGTTGTTTCAACTAACCTTTCACTACTTTTAGCTACATTTATCTTTTATGTGGTAGTGCTCTAACCTTTAGCTACATGTAGCTTTTACCTACAGTTGCTACTTTTAGCTATTTTTGCTGCATTTCGCATGTGTTTTAGAACTTTTAGCTACTGTTTTAATTTTAGCTAACACAGCTACATTTTTCTAACCTTTCGCTACATTTAACTTTTACCTAGCCTTTTGCTCTTTCTTGCCCTAGGCTAGTCATTTGATGCTACTTTCAGCTATTCTTTTGCTGCATTTAGCAATTGTTTTGGTAGTTTTAGCTACTGTTTTAATTTTAGCTAACACAGCTACATTTTTCTAACCTTTCGCTACATTTAACTTTTACCTAGCCTTTTGCTCTTTCTTGCCCTAGGCTAGTCATTTGATGCTACTTTCAGCTATTCTTTTGCTGCATTTAGCAATTGTTTTGGTAGTTTTAGCTACTGTTCTAATTTTAGATTTTATGTGGCATTTTGCTACTTTTATTTTCTAGCTAGTAAGTTAAAAATTTTCTCTATTATCTAGCCCTTTGCCACTGTTTTCCATGTAGGTAAACTTTAACTACTTTTAGCTTTTACCTAGCCTTTCGTTACCCTTTCTTGCCCTAGCTAGTAATTTGATGCTACTTTTAGCTATTCTTTTGCTGCATTTAGTAATTGTTTTGCTACTTTTAGCTTTTACCTAGCCTTTCGTTACCC